GCAGCTGGTGTTCGCTGTAACAAACAACTTGCCACTCAAACCCCGGGCAGCTGCGCATGCGCCTCCGCGCAAGGCCTGCTGGGACTTGTAGTCCACGTGCTGCCCGGGGCGCGCGGGCTGCTGGAGTCGAGGGGGGAAGGGGCTGAGTGGCTGCGGTTCTGAAGCCCTGGAAATGCTGCGGCGCTGGGCTCCCCAGGCCCGCCAAGGGGTCCAAGGGGAGACCAAAGGCATTTGGAGTCATTCCCGAGTCCGAGTGCGTGCTCTTGTTATTTATTTTAGCTCCCGGCTAAGCGATTTGGCGGGAGAGGGCTGGGACTCTAAGACAACTCCATCGCTGGAGGAGGCCCCAACCTGGGAGAAGAGAGGTTTAGGGAAATCGGTAGAGCTCAGAGAAGCGAAACCGAAAAGGAGTGTTGGGGACGAGGAGTAGGGATCCAAGAGGGAGAGGACATCCAGACTGGGTTCTGAAGGATGAATCGGAGCTTGCGGGCAGGGGGAGGGGCGCGAGCACCGAGGGCCGCGGCCTTCCAGGAGGAAGGGACAGCGTGTCCAAAGGCACAGAAGCGTGAAAGCCCCCACGGTGCTGTGTTTGGCTTTGTTGCAGCATAAAAAAGCGAGGGAGGAGAGACAGGAGATAAGGGAGGCGCGGTAACCAGGGCTAGGGTCGCAAGGGTCATGTGTGTAGAGCTAATGAGGTGGCCGGGCATTATCCCTCGGGAAAGTGGAGGGCGTGCACCGCGAGGGCCGGCTGGGGGGACGCGTCAGATCTGAAAACATCGAGGTGCCGCCGACCTCAGGGCCAAGGTGTCGGGACCCTTTCCCATGACGTCGTCCCCTTCATGGGTGAGTGGTTTTGAAATTTTGTAGGTTAGAGTTACTGGTGCTTTGCCCTTTGGCAGAGTCATTGGACGACTTGATGGCCGAGGTCTACCGGCTAGGGAAGGCTGGGAACCCTGTTTTTGAGGAACTGTGGTATTCTCTCCAGACTCAGCCCTCATCGGTTAGATGAGAATGTTAATAGGCGCCCTCATTTCCACCAAGGGTATGAAACCTTTATCTTGGATAAACCTCGAAGTTGCCTAATTCCCTCTTGTTTTATTTTCATTGAAGAATTTGCCATCATCTGGTACAGAATAGATTTACCCTTTTACTTGTCTGACCCTTCACCCATGCCCAGCTAAAATTATCACTCAATAAAAGCAGTGATTAAAAAACAAAATTAAATGGGGGTGGAACCCAGGGCTTCCTCACTGAGCTACACCTCCAACCGTTTTCTATTTTTTGGTAGAGGGTCTCACTGAATTGCTGTTACCCTGGCTTGTGATTTTCCTGCCTCAGCCTCCCAGAGTGCTGAAATTACAGCTATGCGCTGCCATGCCCAACTAAACGGCAATTTTTGTTTGTTCTGTGCTGTGTTTCCCAGTCTGGGCTGTAGCAACTGGCACACAAATGACACTCATTCAATATTTTGGGAATGCATAAATACCTCATCTATAGAGCCACAAGGCCTAAACAGAAACACATTCGAGGCCCAGAAGGTAGTACATGGAGCAGGTGCATCGAGCAGGCCAGAATGGCATCAGAGAAGAGCAGTCTGCCTGAAGGCACAACTTTTAATTTCTTCTCAAACACCCAACAGGTGATGAAACAAAACAAACAAGGCTAAAGGCAGGATTTGGCTGGTTTTCTGACTTCTGCTCTGCATGGCTCAAGTCTCTCTTTTTCAGTCTGCAGGCTATGACCCATGAGTGGATGACGAAATCAATCGAGCAGGGTACAACTGGTATTAAAAGAAAGAAATAGAATACAAGGGTCCCCAGCTTTGCACATAGTGGGCACGTTTTATGATGATCTCTTCTGTCTCGTGAAGCGCTCGTTTTGGCCACGTGGGTGCATGGCATGTGCATGTGTGTACTGGATCCTCATAGAAACCTGCTTCTTCACGTGGGTCTCAGTTAAAAATGTTTGAAAGTACTGGGTTTTTTATTCAATCAAGTCAGACCACTTAAGAGTTTGCAAATTTAGACAGCATTGGTTTCACTTGCAGAATTGCTTCCACAGAGTTGTATTTGGGGATTGAGATTTCCATGAAACTAACTACTGAAGTTAATATTCAGATGTCAAGGAAACTGTCTTTTAGATTACCAAGTCCCAAGGATGGTTCAGGCCAGGGAGGTCACTTAAAGTGACAATGAGTCTCAAGGGCTGGGTGGACACCATACCAGAATTCCCTTCTCTCTTAGATCTCTAGTCCTCACTGCTTTGTTCTGGGTCCTAACTGATTTCTTCTCTGCTTAACCCTAAGATGAATAGAGGCCCACCTAGTGTTCATTCCTGTGGTATATGATAGCAGTAGCTGCTACTAAGTCCTGGTTCCTGCAGAGTCCTTCCCTATTGGCTCTGCTTTGGCCAATAAAAATGCACCCTGTGCATTGGGTCGTGCCCTCTGAATGCTGCCCGGGCAACAAGCTACGAAGAAACCTGGATGACAGACCATGAGGACAGGTCTGACTGATGCAGCTGGAGCAGCAGGTGCCAGCTGCTAGCCGTGTGAGATGATCTTGGAATTTCTGGCTGACTGTCCAGCTGAAGGTATATTAGTCCATTTCCTTTTGCTATATCAAGATACCCGAGACTGGGTAATGTGCAAAGAAAAGAGGGTTGATTAGCTTATCGTTTTGGAGGCCAAAAAGTCCACGATTGGGTGGCCTTGATGGTTTGGCATCTGGGGAGGGCAGCGTGGTGAATGGCATCCCCTGGTGGGATCAGGTGTAGAAGAGATCACACAGACAGAAAGCCAGAGAGGGGAAGGGGCCTCTAGCATGGGAGTCTGTGGGACCGACTGCATCCAAGCACCAGGTGAAACCAGAAGAGAAAAGATCCCGCTGACCTATGGAAATGTGGCAGTTACTGTTCCTAGGTACTAAGAGTTGGGGTGGCGATTCAGCTGTGTGTCTTCTCAGCCCTTGTCTCTTACTCTGGGCATGGCCAGTCTGGCTCCTAACATGTCGATGCCCCCCAGTTGATGGCCCCAGCTCAAGGTATCTTCCCACAGCCCTGAGTCCCACAGCTGACTTCCCAGTGCTAGCTATGTCCCCCTGCGTGGCCACAGGTGTGCTGATGCCACTGTTCAAGTCATACTTCAGCATCAGACCCATGTTGAACCCACGTGGATCTACCTATCTTTGTCCTGTGCTCTCTGTCCTTTTTCTTTTCCAGGGCCTTCACACTGAGCCACATCCCCAGACCTTTTTATTTTGAGACAAGGTCTTGGTATTCTCTGAGTTGTCCAGGCTGGGCTCAAACTTGGATTCTCCTGCCTCAGCCTCCCAGAGTGCTTCGATTACAGGTGTGCTCCATTATTCCTGGCTCTAATCCCTGTATTGGATGACAGTCCTTCGAGTTATGAACCTCGGATGGCTTGTGTTTTCCAAGATGGCCGCAGATCTTCCAAGATTTGTATCCTCTTATAGGATGACCCTGACACTTGTCACATTCACAGGCAGGTCTATGTTGCCGTCCCTTGAGTCTGGGCCAGCCTGTCATTGCAGAGGAAATGGCACTGTGTAAAAGGCAATACTGTTTCCACCTGATTGTCCTGAGAACCCACTGGCCATGCTGAAGAAACTGGCCACCTGGAAAGGCCACCTGGAGGACTTTGTACTAATTTACTAGGGGTGCTGGGCCAGAGTTCCACACAGTGGGTGACTTCAGCCAGTGGTCCCCAAACATTTTGGCACCAGGAGCTGATTTTGTGGAAGACAATTTTTCCATAGATCACGAGGGAGGGAACTATCATGGGATTATTCAAGTGCATTGCACTTTTTGTGCACTTTGTTTCTATTGTTATTACATTGTACCCTTTATTTGTATTATTATTGCATTAAATTGTCCCAAGGGAGTCTAGATCCCAGGCATTTGCAATTGACAGCCAGGCGGGCCCTGCTCCTACTCAAATCTAAAGCAGCTGACGTGATGGGAGGTGGAGCTCAGGCCTGATGCAGCTGGAAACACAGACGAAGCTTGCTTCACCTCCTGCTGTAGGGCTTGGTTCCTAAGTTGTTTCAAAGTATTGACCACCTCGGCTTGGTTTACTGGAGGTTGTCCTCGTTTTAAAACTGAAAGTCACTGAAAACCTCGTTGGTTCTAGAGAAACCAGGATAATGGGTTGCTATTTTCCTGTCCTACTTGAATGTTGTCCAGGCCCTGAATTGTGTATCCGTTTTTAAATGAATGAAAATGATGTAGTTACAGTGTCAGCCACTCGTGGCAGGGGGATTCCTTCTGGCGCTACCTTACATAACATACAGCCCACACTTAGTGGAGTACAAGGGCAATTGCTGTATTAGTTCACACATTCTGGAGGACATGAATTCAGACGGGACACATGGAAATAGTTCCCCGTTGCTCTGTGGAATCTGGCCTTGGCCTGGGCAGATGGGAATTATGGGGGAGACAAGACCGAACGGGGCTGGAGTCATATGGATGGTTCTGTCTTGTGTGTCCAGTGCCTGAGCCAGCACTATAGACCGGAGCATACTCCATGTGGCCTAGTGTGGTGGTTATGTATAAGAACTGCCTAGCAGATTAGTAAAGCTCTGGGTGTGTCTGTGAATGATTGACAGGCTAGCAAATGGAAGGAGGAAGACCCACCCTGGGTGTGGTAACCAACCAATAGGCTTGTAGCCTTGGGTGTTACCAGCCAATAGGCTTGTAGCCTGGATAGAGTAAAAAGGGAAAGAAGAAGGAAGTCTTCTGGTTTTCTTTGAGTTCCAGTCTTTGCCATTGCCTTTGGACTTTGGTCTCCAGTTCCTTCAAGCTTCCAGTGCAGACCAGTCTTCTAATGCAGACCCTTTGAGTTTCCATCCCAGGCACACACAGGACTCTGCAGTGAGCCCTGTCTTCAATGTTTGAATGGATTCTTTG